ATATAAAATTTAAGTCTGTATGACATGCAGGGAAATGTGTGGATTCGGTATTACTGAGAGAAAATTGTTGCCTTCTGAGAGTTAAAAAATTGCCTCGTTTCTGATAAGGGAACCGACATATATACAGGACTATAAAATTATGGCCCGAACAGTTGATGGGAAAGGTGCCTCTGTCGAGCCGGTTTTTATCTCTGGTAGGTCAAGGCTAAAGTCATGATGACGTCCAAGTAATGCAATGGGCTGAGCAAGGCAGAGAAAGCATGGGATCTTCGATGACCACTGCAACTTACATATAAAGAATAGCAAATTTGGTGTTGGATTTGTACCTACGTATTTTCAAAACAATTTACAAATTCATATGGGATCGTGTCTACATTATACATCATATTCCTTTATTCACATCTGTGAACTTTATCTATTTAAATATCCTATGACTTGAAATAATAAAGGAGTGTACTAAAAGAAGTATATGACCAATGAAGATTTAGATAGCTAAGAGTTAAGTGATGAGGCAGAAAAATATTTCAAGAACTAATTTCCTTCAGATCTAGTAAAAAGTTCAAAAAGTGCGCAAAAACAATTAAATCCACTATTTTAGTAATGAGATCAGAAACTTAGTTATCCTTTGACTTTCATTACTTTGAGCAAGAAAAATCAATTACTTTCTGCATATATAAAAGCGAAAATTGCCTGATATCCTCTGGAACAGAAGGTTACTTTTAACAACTAATCTTCGTGCTAGTCTATTATGTATTGCAAGGACATGAGAAATTATTGTAAAACAAAACGCTCCATGAGCAAAATGGGCCATACAATTATCCTTAATCATACAAAGCTCACCCAAAAATATTATTGCATTTTAAAGTCATTTTTGGTCGTGAGCATGAGACATGTTGTAAGGATTTAGAACAAGAAAAAATTTCGATTAGTCTAGGAAAATTCCAAAAAGTAAAACACCAAAAATTCCAAAATTTCCCTTGAGGTCCCATTAAAAATCCTGAAACCTCTAAAAACAAAACTCGAAGCAAGTCGCGAAGAGTTTCGAAAGTTCCCGAAAGATATAAAAAATGTTTGGAGATCACTTAAATAAAAACGCAAAAGTTATTGAGAAGTCAAGCGTAAAGAATTCCGAAAAATACAGAAAAGATTTTGAGCGGTCTTGAAAAAAGAAATCCCGCTAAAAACTTGAAAATGTTCGCTAAACCCAAATATCATGAACCATCCATTTTATTATCTATCCTGAAAAAATCTAACGATATATTTTTGCTTCAATATAATTTCCGAAGAATTTCACCTTTGAAAACGAAGCAAATATTAAAAGCCAGGAAGGAAATGAGGAGATCATAATCTGCAGTGAGCGCAGATTATTTTCATTCTCTCTCTCTCTCTCTCTCCCTCTCTTTTGATCTTAAAATCTTAAAATTACTAACAGTAACTAGTCAAAAGCGTCAAATTAACTCGCAACTTTTTTTTCTCATCCTAAAAAAAAATAAACCTAGTAGGGTTAAATGACTTATATATGGATACATATCGGTGGTGCTCTACAATAACGACACAACTCAAAATTTCATGCAATTAAGTTATCTATATAAGTGGATTTGATTGATGAAAATAACCTAATTTTTCTGCGGATCACCGACATATGTTTACCTGCTACCAATCGGGCAGGGAAGTCGAAGTTGGCAACCCCTAATACTGAACAGTAGCATATGTCTCAGTTGCTGCCGCATCCGCATCGCTGCGGGTGATTCTAGTGTTTATCGTGAATATTGTCATAGGTCGAAAACTGTCGATAGGTCAGGAATGCTTGTATAGGAAATCAAGAAATTTTTCGTATCGCATCGTTGTTCAATAACATAAGTGGAAATATTTTTGTTTGACTATTTATAATAGTTATTCATTGTTTAAACGAAATAACTTTTTAAGTCTAAACCCTACTAAATATTAATAAAATAGTCATAACTTGGGAGCCTATACATTTTACATCTATGTAGAATTATTACAAAAAATAAGCAATAATTGTTATAATTTGAGTTGTGTCTTTAATGCAGAGAACCATCGGTATACCCACCACATCCACACGAAAATTGCATTGAGAAAAGAATTTCTGCGTGTACGAGCTCTTGTCCTTCGCGAAGTGCACAAAAATGACAATTTTCCTGATTTCATTTGCTTTACAATTTCCTGATTTATTCAGATTTTTCATTCACTGGGCGTCACCTACGTCTGCGAAAAAATAAATACATATGTATAAAAAGTTGAAAAATTTAATACCGGTATAACAGAGGGAAAGAGGCAGAGTGTGTTATCTTTTGCAAGAGTGAGTTGCCGTGTCTTCCTGCGCTTAATGTCACATATAAATTTTTTCTTTTATAATTTAATCTCGCACATACTTATATACACACACATACAAATACTGAATGAAAGGATGCATGGCTGCGTACATGCATATATCGCTTGAATTTCAAGTGCTTCAGCTTGTGCATGCGTATGCATATGTTTACGGGGAGGGGCGTTCCATACCAAAATGGACGGACACTTCATGACTTTGATTTGTCTCAAATTTTTAGGGTTGATGTAGATAAACATAGATAATAAATAAATATGAATTTTGAGCTTGATTGATATATCTTTAAAAACTTTACAGCACAAAAGCAAAAACAAATCGATTTAAAAGTTTTCCAAATATCTCGAGAACAGGGCGAGGAAAAAATTCAAAAAAAAATCACACGAATGTGTGTGATCAAAATTCTCTATGAAAAGAAATATTAAAAAATTGTTTTCCTTAAAAAACTTTTCACATCATATATGTATGTAATACTCCTATATTGGCAGTAAGAGCTAGTACCGTCCGAAAACACTACAGTACAGATGTATTAATAAACACGTACGAAAGAAAAGGAAGACATACGTTTATAAATAAACATGTACACAACACATATACAAAAACGGCACTCAAGTACAAAATACATTGACAAAAACGGTTCTAGACTGTCTCGCTTTGATTTCGGAATGCTTACACATTGAGAAGTTAGCTTACTGCCAATACAGAAGTATTACATCTATGTTTCACACACATATTTTTTTATGAAAAAATTAGTTTTTGAAAATATGCCACCCCGAAAGAAAATTTAACAAATTATTATCGTAGCTATGGTAACTAATATATTTTATCAAATTATTTCTATGTATTTTCAAGATAAAAAAATTTAATTTTTATTTTCATAGAGAATTTTGATGTGTGTATATATGATTTTTTTCAAATTTTTTCCTCGTCCCATTCTCGCGATATTTGGAAAACTATTAAATCGATTTTTTGTGTTTGCTCTCTATTATAATAGAATTTATTAAGCTATAAAACTGCATACCAAAAATTATTCTAGAAATTAATTTTTATAATTTTTTACCAAGTCTGAAATTTAAATTTATATGGTAGATGTTTGTTAGATAAAAAGCTATGCTTCAAAACTGTTAAAAATGTTGATGTGCTATCTTTTGCCGCTGGGTGTATCTTGGACCTTTGATCATTATTTATAGAATTTTGGGGTTAGATTAGGTTTTATTGGGAAAATATTTAAGATCATCGAAACATTATTTACAAACTGGAACAATTTATTATATCCCATTAAAGGATGAACAGCTTAAAAAGATGTGGTCATAGCCCACTTGTTTGAAGCTGTTTTAGAATTTTGAGGTAATAGCAAAAATATTGTGCTCTAAAAACAAACTGTGTGAATACGACAAGTTTTGGTCAATATCTTACAAGTCCATCAAAGTTCGTTGTGCGCAAAAAAAAAAACAAAAATTAATTGATACATATATTTTTTTAATGCGATCGCAAGTTTCTTCGAAGGTATTAGTCCTAATAATTTGGTATATGGACCTTTCTTGTAGAGAATCGAAGTAAGCTAAGAATGCATTTTTTTAGCACTTAAACATTGATGGACTTAGGCTAGCCTAAGATATTGCGTTTAGAGCATTATCAACCATACTTTTGCTATCACCAATTAAAATTCTAAAAAATCGGTTTTTCGGCCCACGCTATTGTACACCATATAGTAGTCAACAATTCCTTCCTCTTAAGGGATATAAGGAGCATTTTAAAATTGCTCTTTAAACCTCCCAACATCATCCAAAATAAATGCTTCAAAAAAAAACAACAAAAACGTATCTCTTTATGGAGTCATGGACTCGAAAATGGGTCAGAATATGACCGAATGATTGAAGTTCCAAGGAAGCTCATTATTTTGAATGTGTTTCCAAGTTTTTAAAAGTTTACATGCAGATCTTTAAGGTCCACATTCTATTATGAGAATTCTGGACATTATAGAAGTTAANTCTATGGCCATTTTGAGGGAAAACTTCGGAGAACAATTCATCTCAAGAAATGGACCGGTAAGTTGGCCACCAAGATCATGCGATTTGACGCCTTTAGACTATTTTTTGTGGGGCTACGTCAAGTCTAAAGTCTACAGAAATAAGCCAGCAACTATTCCAGCTTTGGAAGACAACATTTCCGAAGAAATTCGGGCTATTCCGGCCGAAATGCTCGAAAAAGTTGCCCAAAATTGGACTTTCCGAATGGACCACCTAAGACGCAGCCGCGGTCAACATTTAAATGAAATTATCTTCAAAAAGTAAATGTCATGGACCAATCTAACGTTTCAAATAAAGAACCGATGAGATTTTATGCGTTTTTTTTAAAAAAAAAGTTATCAAGCTCTTAAAAAATCACCCGTTACTTAGCTCAGCGGTGATACCGAAGTGAGGCGAAATATTTTTGTGGGGACCTAGCTATATGGAACACTTCGAAACAACTGTTTAAGAGCCACCCTAACTTAGGCATAAGTGTGTATATATATGTATATGTGTGCATTTATATGATTCTTAGCGGTCCTATCCAACTTTTTCTTACCTCAATCAGTTTTAATTCATTTTATATGCTTTATTCTTCCATCTCTTTGCATTGCCAACACACACACACACACACACGCGTCCAGATATGACCTGTTAGCTGGTGTTACACGGGCCGAAGCATTTTTCTCCTTCAATTCCGGCGACGTACAGTATGGTATTGAGGCGGATCGTCGTTCGAAAATACTGAAAGCCTATGTACGAAATACATACACGTACCATCTGAATGAAATATTCGCGACGATTGTTAATGAGTACACGGATTGGGAGCGACCGGTACAGCATCCAATTAATATACGGTAAGCGTTTTAAATATGTAAATCTATTTATATGTATACATGTATATAGGTATGCATGCACAGACAAAAGGGCAACAAGCTTTACACAAAGTAAGACATACCACATACGTAGGTAAAATGGTAAAACGAAGGTAAACAGACTTGTCTGTGAGTTATGCAAGATGTGAAAAAGCGTAAAACGGCATTAATGTAATGTAATTCTTCTTAGCATACTATACTCATATACATATGTATATGTGTATGTATGAAAGTAAGGGGATTTGTAAAGTAAAATCATCGTAAATCTTTTGAGTATAAAAATGTTGGATTATGAAAAGCGAAATAATGAGACGGAGAACCGTTTTCATGTCTTTTAATTTTTTTTTACATTTTTGTATTTAATATACACACTGTAAATTTCATTATAAATGTGGCTTGCAATACTAAAAGTTCATCGTAAACGTTATACGTTTGTGCATCTTTATTGAATCACTCAATCATAACTTGATGACTTTTAAGCTGTCTCTTTTATGCCTTCGTCACTGAAGATATGTGCAGCATAAGAATATGCTAAATATTTTTTAACTGGTTTTACGGTATTTAGTATAAGATTTTTTCAGTTGAAACTTTCATACATTTCTGCTAACAACAAAAGCACGTCGCAAAGCCCGTATCACGAAATTCCAATGGGATGAAAGCAACTACGTTTTAGAAAAAGCGCTTACCTCGTTTAAGGCTTTCAATTTACTGGGGCCTCTTTTCTTTTAAAAACTAACAAAATGTTTGTTTGTATGTCCTTTAAAAGAAGCATTGCTCGGGGGAGGCTATCGATCTTTCAGCACAATTATTTCTGAGTACTTTGTATGTGTTGATATTAGCAAGACTATAAAATTCTGTAAATTGTTGCAAGGATTAGGAAAAGCTATTTTTAACTCTGGCAAAGTAGTGTATCTTGGGCTGATTTTTGACAGAAAGATATAGTGGAAATTCAAAGGGTTTGAAAGTCAGCAGTTCCTTAAGCTAGAGTATTAACAAAAAGCAATGTAAAGCCAATAAATTGGTTTCCAGTTGTCGGCAGGAGGGGATCACTAAATAAGACTATTATTGTTACGTAGTTGAAACGCGTTGTGTCCAAATTGATTACTCCCCTTTCAATGGAAATAGAGAGGGGTTGTGACACATGAAAGCTGGTCCAGGTAAGCCCATTAACGTATGACTCAATTGGACACTCAGATTATTTTCCTTAAAACGTATTTGTTCTATTTCATCTAATGTGCTAAGTGAGCAGCGGAAATGGTATATCGGAATTTTTTTTGATACCACTACAATCGGTAGCCGCTAAGCTATGCATATCAGTATATCAGAATTAAGGATAGGGGCTAGCGGCTTCGGTACACTTTTGGGAAAAAATACCTTGCCAACACGATATGCATCATTTCACGAATAGTCAAAGGTTATCTGAATCTTCCCCTTTTTGGTGAAACCAACTCGAGGGTACCTCTTTGGTCAAACAATTTCCTATACCTTTATAGCTTAGTGCCCATAAAAGTCTGACTAGCAAGAAATAAGATGCAACTGAAATAGAGGTAAAGTATTACCCACTAACTTTAAAAGCGCTGTGAGCGTGGTTTGGTTATTAAAGTTGAGATATATCGTCTTGACTTGCCGACGCCGCCCAGTTTAGCCACCTATCGATTGCAAATCCATGTAGAAATTCATGCGTGTCTTTTTCCAACTACTTCCTGCCCCGTCCACTAACTCCTCCAACCGTTGTTAGCGTAGAAAGAGCTTGTTTAGATCCACTCCAGTTAGTAAAGCCCTCCAACAATAAAATATGGTCAAAATACAAGCCTGCAACTGTTTAAAATACGGTATTTTCCCACCAGCGTTTTTTCTCTTGTCTAGTTCACTATAGGGTAGTCCAAAAAATTAAAATAAATATTATTTATTCAACTATAGTTTCAAAGCGCTAGGAAATAACTTTAGGAGAGCAATACTTTTCATTAACTAAATGCCCCCTAAATCTGTAGAAAGTCATTAATACACATAGACATTCGCATTATAAGTTTGTATTGCGAATGAAGAAAAAAAATCAAACATCAAGGCCTGTCTGCTGCCCTCAATAAAAACGAAAAATTCATATATAAAATGAGGCACAAGAAATAGTAAAGAAATTTTCTTCTATCTAGAAAAAAAGGCTCATACATTTAAATACTTCTTCAAGAGAATTTAGAGCAACAGCCAAGCACTTTTTCAAGAAACAGAAATACTGAACAACATTTCTTCTGAATTTTCTTGTGAACTGCGGATAACCCTTTAACGATGATAGCCGATCGTATTTATTCATTGTTTCGTATGGCCAAATTAAAATGTGCAATATTTTTTAGCAGGAAATAAATAATGTTACTCATACGCCATGTATGAGTACAGCCATGTAAGCCAGGCGTATGAGTAAGATTATTTCTTGATCCTATTTCATACAAAATACGAATGCACCTTTTTATTTGACTACTCAAAAGGATGGATTAATAACGTCACTTCCCATTTATCCTTAGGGTCATTTTTGATCCTGAGAAACGTAACGGTTTTTTGGATTAAACAAAATGTTTGGAGCTGATTTATTGATAATTGTTTAGTATTTATCATTTTTATTCACATTTAACACATATTACAGGTTTATCGCGGCGTTGCTTGGACAAAGACTTATTCTACCCAAAACCCAATTAAAATTTAATGTCGCTCCATTATGTGAGAATAGCGTCCTTTGTGACCCTTGGGTCCAATTGGTAACAATAGCCAAAAAATATTTCAATTACAATGTAAAATTCCATGTTAAACAAGATATTATTTTTTAGTAAAATAAAGTAAAAAAAAAATGTATTTATCGGACCTAAAGCACGTGAGAAATCGGATTCAAAATTTAAAAAGGGTCAATTTTGACCTTAAGGACTAATAAGGGTTAAGGGGCCATCAATTACTTTATAAATGGCATTGCCTGGATTGAGCTATTTTTCAAATTTCCAACTGCGATGCTGTCGAATTCAGAAGAAGAATTAGAAGCCGACAAAACAAGTGGCTTAAACTGGGACACGTCGACATATGCCGACATAAAAGAAATCTGCCATAAAAACACGTCGGACATAGGCCACGATGATTGTATTGAGTTTTATATGTAGTGAAATTATTTTGTGGCCCAACGGAAACATTTTAGTTTTTCATATATATTTTCTCTAGTTGTAACGAAAATTTAAACACCTAGTCTAGAACTCCAAATATCACTAGTGTCGTTCCGCGAATGTTTTCCAAAAATGTTGTGCCCGCTAAAGGGTTAAGAACTACTGCTGGATGCATAAAAATACCACAACTAAAGCCGACGAAAGATATACAATGTTACGCGCTGAACAACTAGCAGCAAACCTTGTTAACTGTGGTCAACATATAAAACAGAAAAAATTTATATCTCACTTGCTACGTTAATATTATACTTATAGTTGTGTTTGCATTTTTTTACTAAAATTCCCGGAATTCAAATACAAAAAAAAAACAAAAACTCCATGTAAAAATATTCAGTAAAAGCCAATTGCCTGATAACAAAAACGAGGCAATTAATTTAAAATTGTCGCTTGCATGTCAGTTACTCATTTGACACAATGCATTATTGGTGAGTTGTCGGTTTCCCATTTGACCTCCACCAAGCATTGTATAAAATTTTTGAATAGAAAACCGCCAACTGTGTATAACAAAATTTGCAAACTATACAGACAGAGTGTTTATTTTTATACACCTAAATAAAGTTGTACACATCTGCACATACATATGAATGTATTTGCATAGCTATGTATGTAAATAATACAAAAAATTAGTTTTGTAATAAAGTATCGACTACTGATAACAAAATTACATTGATTGAATTGCATCAGTAATTCTCTGAAGCCGTCTAAAAACTCGTATTAAAACAAATTGCTACTGATAATTCAAAACCTATTTGTCGCTTCCAATTTGTTATCCACTGGAAAACATCAAATAACATTGCAGTAAATCTATTTATTTAAATGAATTTTTTTCTGCGTAACAACACAATTTTCGGCGGCCAACCATTGGCTTTCGAAAATGTATCATAGTTTACAAACATAAAAATACCAATTTAAATGCATGCGCGAAATAAATCTATTTGAATAATGTATTTAAATGAGATGAACTGAATAAATTTGATAACCGGAAGGCAAGATAATAAAAAAAATCAAATCATTTTATATCAAACTTACATGGAATTACTGAAATCCCAACTGGAAATTAATATAAGTTATAATATCGATACTAGCTCTGATAAGAAACCTGAGGCGAATTACTTAGATAGTATACCAACATTCCTTCTGTCCAGCACCTATACGGCGAAAGTTTATCGTATAGTCCCTGGATGCTTCATACAAATTGTATGGGCATTTCTAATAACTACTTTTATAATAATAATAATATCCCAACGGTTTTTACCCTCCATTCCCGCCCATCCGCACGAGGGGCGCAGTCCGCATGACGGACGGAACCAATATTTTAAATTTTTGTGCCGAGTCACGATAGGCAGGAGTTTGTTAAGTGTCGAGATCTAAAACTGTTCAGCTACAGAACTAAATTTATCAGCTGATTTTATGTATTTATGTCAATAATTCACTTATTGAGAGAGGAGAGTATCGCTTTCTTAATGCTGAAAAGCGGATCTGATATATCAAACGTGCTGGAATGAGAGTTAAAATCCTGGCATAAGCAACGGAGTGGGTCGTGCAATTCAAAATTGGTTTTACAAGCTTTCAGAAATATGGGACAAAAGTGTCTTGATACGCGTGACGGAACATTAAAGCTTACATCAGCCAGATCAGCCAGAAGAGACGGACTTGAAATTGAGCCTGTCAGTAATTTAACCATAAAAATTATACCAAGCATTTCCCTGCAACTGGCAAGTGTAGGAAGGTTAATAAGTTTTAAGCGACTCGTATAAGTAAGTTAGAAAAATAATGCCCACCTGGCGTGGCAGTTTGAAGAAGTGACCTTTAGTTAGATCATAGCCAGCGGCTTTCTTTGGTTTAAGATTATTAATTGCTACTTTTTCTTCTGCTGCCCATTGTAGCCTTGGTTTAATTTGTTATACTGACATGGGGTTCTATATATGTTTTTGTTTTGGGATAAAAACAGATTTAAGTATATGGAAAAATTGGTTGTTTTTGTGTCAATTAGGGTGGGCCAAATAGGCATCTGAAAAACTGTAATTTTATTCCGAAAAAATATACTCCTGAAATCAAAAGAATAATTAGAGGATGCTCAAAGTTGTCCATGTATTTTATAAGTTGTATGGTATACAAGTAGAATACTTGGAAATCAATGTGTTTTGATCAGAAGAACCTATTTCTCTTTAGAAGACTCCCCATAATATTACTCCATTGTTCACTTAACCATTTTTTGATAGCAACCAAAAAACCTGAAAATGCATTGGGGACCCATAAAAAATTTTTAGTATTAAAAAATAGTTAAATAAAATTTTAGATATTATTATTGGAAGACTTCTGAAGATAACCGATCGAAAATATTGATTTTCAAGAATTCAATACCTTTTGAAATGCTATACATGGGAAATTTTTTCTGAGCGCTTTGAGCGACCTCTAAAAATTTTTTGATTTCACAATAAAAAATATGGGTAAATTTGTTTTCGGTATGGAAAAATCATAGGGGGTGGGAGCATTAAAATTTAGACCAAAATTTTTTTTTACCACTCTAATGTCCATTCTTAGGGCAGATTGAGTTAGCATTCGCCTCCCTAACTTACTTGCTACCTTCCATGGAGAGTAACCAGTTGCTGCAGTTGCATCAATACTGCTAAGATAACTGTATATTCAATGATTCGCCGTAACTCTAAAAACGATAGAAACGATGACCTCATATCATGGTTGTACTTTGGCCCTAAAGCTTTGTTATATAATTTAATGTAATCATATAGCTTGCCCTTCTATAAAGTGTTCAGGGCATATTTAATTTTAACAACTTTTTAATTAACTTTAATTTTAACATATATGTATGTCATAAGTGTGTATTCATATAAATTGGTTACCTTTGAAATATCCGGTATGATTTAATGTTGGACACAAGCGCAGCAGATGCAGCACTTTGTGGATATACCAAATACTTATGTAGCTCAAAAATTTTATAATTCACATAATTTGTTAAAATATTCCGAAATTTTGCTCTTTACTACGTACATAATTGTCGTCAATCGAAAATATGCCTCAACCTGTGTGCCACGTAGCTACGGAATTTTGTATTAATACATTTTTGTATACGAAAAACAATACATAAAAGCTGATTTAATTAAAATGCAAATTTGATTAACACATGACATCCAACTGCATAATTGAAACTGTAAAATTGCACATACATATGTGCACATGTATGTACCTACACAATGTATGAATAATAAAATTTAACGCCTATGGCTCATATCAGAGTAAAATTAACTCGTTAACTTATCGATAAGCTTTTCTAGCAAATTTGGTTTAACGCTTGATGGCGAAGATCTCAATTTTTGTTGAAAAAAGTCTAATTTCTTTTTTTTTTTTTCTCAACTAATACCTACATATCTTAAAATTTAAAACAATTGTAAAAACTAAGGTATTTTCATAACTGAAAAATTTTTCTAATAGAATTTTAGCCATTTTCATTATTTTTTTGTTTTGTAGTTAGTTCTTAATGCTGACTTTACACCAGACAACCGTTGAAGCTATAAGGGCATGTTGCTTCGAGCATTGCCTCGTTGAATTTCATTTCGTCCGCCGTCGGTGTAGGGAGAGATTGCTTGTTTATCGGCCACTCTGCCTCTCCCCCACTCTCTTCTGTATAGGATTTTCAGTAGTATGTTTTTGAAGCTGATGCAGTCGGTACTTTGTCGTGATTGTATTTCGTTGATGATCATTCGGCATCTTGCAGCAATCTCAACGGACATTCATTTACGGTTTTTAAGGAGAAAAACAACCCCTATGATGAATTCTTGTCATTTTTAAAACTTTATTAGACTTCGTATCGAAAGGTTTTTGGGGTTGCTGATTAAGAATCTGAACTCAGTTCTTAAAAATTCAAAATGGCGGATAAATAAGACGGGTGTTTTTTTTTTAAATCATCAAATTTTTATGTAATTTGATATCCAAAGGTGCTTTGAGTGGCTGACTATAAAACTTAGTCCAAAAAATATACCCTAAAATCCATACGGCATATTGTATCAGCCATTTTGAGTTTATAAGAAACGACTTCAGATTCAGATCCTTCTATACGAAGTTTAGTAATTTTTGGAAATTCGCATGGAATATTCTATTGGCCGATTCAACATAGGGGTTGTTAGGGACACATTTTTAAAGTCTGAGAGGTATTGTCGCACACTGCAGTTATTTCAATACATTATATTACCGTTGTTCGAGCGAAAACGATGATAGATACGCACATTTAATTTCGGAAAGTTACACCCTAATGTACATATGTTTATATAAATAGTAACTGAGTAACAATGAAAATTTGAATTTGGCTGCTAACTCTGGATAAAGTTTGTTATTAGTAATTTATCTATTACACGCCCCTTGCTGTGCACCTAACCTAATATTTAAACTTGCTGGAAACCCCGTAATATGCTGTTTAATACTAAGCATTAGCATAGTAATTTAAATACCATCTACACAAGAAAGAAAGCAATCACAATAAAAGAAACTCACTGACTCAACTCAAGTGCAAGTTTAGCACTTTGATTATCGCTATTAGATGCTGTAGCAAAATAAAATTATTACGATGATGTAAGTAGATGGCTGAAATGCGTATCTTACTTTCTGAAAAATTTTACTAGTATTCTCTTTTATTTCACCATTTTGAATTGCTCGCTTTTATTATCTTAAGCCAAGCGTGCGTTTTCTTCGGTGTTGTTGCAACATCGCCGCAATTGCGTAATGTGGCCTTGAGTTCAGCTGATGTAATTGAAAATTCAAATGCATTGACGCTGGCTACAATGCTGGCAAATCATTATGTGGTTTAAAGCTAAGCGTATTTGGAGTGCTCTTAAACTTACTAGGCAACAGCCAGAGCAGTCAGCAGGCGCATGTTGCGCAACAAGCCACACGCTGCAGCTGTGCGCTGTGGCAAAAAGCAGACCCATCAGCCCCAGGCTGTGCTATGTACACTACCGCTATGGCGCTTAATGCAAATTGAAAATTCGCCACAGTTGCCCCACATTACAATACTTACCCACACACACACACACACACACACACACACACATACATACATACATACATGCACACTCACTTCTACTACTACTACTACTGAGATACGTTTTGAAAAGCGCATTTTTACTATTCTCTCAAATGCAACGCTGATGAGGATATTTTCATGCAAAATCTAGAAACTGCATCCCTAACTCACAAACCAGCAGTAGTAAAGATGCAAATACTACAAACACACATTACTTTTACACACAAACGCACAACAAAACAAACTGATGTGCATAATATTTCACCCTCATCATTACCAACACTACTGCAACAACTGCATTTAACGTTAAGTAGTTATGCGTTTTAGTATCCACATTTGCCCGCACTTTTGTTGGGTGGTAAAATTTTTATGCATTTCTTTTCCTTTTTTTCTATTTCAGCGATGAAACCCTTGAGGCGCTTAGTGATGCTCAGGTTGTGGCACCGGCTGCACAAACCGTCGACCTACACTCAGCGGATCACCGAAATTCATATTTGTATGTCTTTGACTATCAGACCAGATATGGAGATTATCCTCAGGTAAGCATTATGTTATACTATTCGGAGGGTTTTATATCCGCTACAATGATAAGCACCGTTTACAAAAATACAAAATCACATTTTCCCGCTTTTTATAATCGAAACTGTATGGTGGAAACTGTGTTCTAATATCTATTTGATACACAAAAAATGAGCACGGCTGTATTTTTTGCTGATATATTACATACATATGTTCCATTTAGTTAAACAATATAAGAATATTGTAGTATGTACCACAAAAACGTATATTTTCTATAAAATATCATAACTCGCTATTAGAGATTTGGGTTGATTGTAGTTCAAAGTGTCTCTTTCCCGGTAAAAAAGTTTGAGAGAAAAAAAAATACACTTTTTGAGAAATTAAATTTAAAAAAAAGATGCACTTTTTGTTTATTGTTAAATAAAAAATTTTAATAATGAAAATCAATAATTATATCATTCTGTCTTGAAGTGACAAGAATTACTGACATTTGAGTAAAAACATTGTGGGAATCTTTTAAATTTTGACAAAGTTATGGGCATTTTAAAAAAACATTCCCACTGTCAATTCGAATAATCGATTTTTGCCTGAAAAACAAAATCGCGTTTAATTCGGCCGAAAAATTTTTACGAGCCAAAAGAAAAAATACGTGTCTCATTATTTGGACCAACAAACAATGTATTTGAGTTTGATCGAAATTAAAAATCATGCTCGTACCTGACCGGTTGTCTGGAAATGGAAAGCATCTATGGAATTACAAAATTGGTCGAGATTAGCAGTCTACTTTTGTTCATTTTGTTCCATTTTGGTTTAAATCACCTGACCAAAGGCGTCACTGCTATTTTGACTTTAGTTTTTATCTCGCTAGCGGTGCGTTCCTAATATAAAGCATTTCAAATAATTTTCCTCAACCAAAGCTATATAATATTTGGCGTCTTTATGTGTCCGCTTTTTTAACTTTCGATATTGTGTGATACATTTTAAAACCACCGACCTAAAAACATGGACTTTTAGACTTGTGATAAAGTTTTTCGAAAAATTAGCTACTTCGAATCGGTTAGAAAACAGCTATAAACGCATCATTCATTTGACGCGAAGTCAACAGCAGTTGGTTTTCTTTATACACTCCGTTTTAAATTTGAATAATTATGATAATATATTAGAATTATTGTTTGCTTATATTTTGATAAACTGCACTAATTAATTATAAGACCGATTTTTAATGAAGGAAGCAGATTTTGTTTATACATAGATATAAAGATTTCGTCTAATAAAAATTGAAAATTCTCTAACGTGTTTTAATAAAACTTTTTTAAGCTAGCCAAAAGTCGGATTAAAGGGACTGACAATAAAGTAAACTTTTAAAGAAAACAAAACAAAATAGTCGAGTTATATATAGCTTCTGCAAATGGTGGAAAAATTTATTTAGATGTTTTTTTTGCATGTCTGCGAATGTTCTCTTACCTAGCCGCCATGCGCTCTCAAGCTGTGCTAGTCATTTTAAGCTTTGTTTCTATTTTTCCACACTTAAAAATTCTTCTATGCTCACATTTTCTATTACACATTTTTCAACTTCTTCGAGCGTAAACATCTTTCATATTTCTTCATTACCACAGCATGCAGTTTTGTTGCTAATAGGCATTTTGCTTGCCACAGAAATTCATAACTGCCGCATTGCAAAGATTTGTTTACATGCGGTGGTTAGCAGGCAAACATGCTAACATGATTCTATGTACAAATCTATATACATACATACATACATGTGTATATGAAGGCTGATATACACATTTTTTGTATGCAAATGTATATAGCTAAGGGCCATTTTCTCAAGTAACCTGTAACTTTAAAGCTCACTTTATATTTAAAGATTGCATTAAAATTTATGGTTGTGTCTAAAGTAAAGCATCTTATTATCGGTTTTAAATTGGTTTACTACCAAGAAACATGCATACGTCAAAAACCGATAATAGAAATGCTTAAAGTTAGACATAGCTTTATTTTGAATCCAACTTTTAAATATAAAGTGAGCTTTAAAGTAAAAGGTTACTTCAGAAAACGGCCCTAAGTGTCTTTATGTTAACAAATTGCACAACGTGCATGCAAAAAGCAAGTCGAAGAGCTTATTGATGCATGAATGCGCCTACATACAAACATACTCGTACTTTAATATGAACATTAGTTTGTATACTTGCGATATATGGGCCAATGCGGTAAACATGCAAACAACTTATGTTGGCAATTATCTGCAATACCAGACGCTTGGAAAAAGGCTCAAGGCAAGCCAAGTGCATGAATGACACTAGAAGCCGCCCTAGAGAGAGAGCCTAAGTCAAGTCAAAGCTAAAGTAAGGCAATCGGAGCTCTGAAGCATCATACCAGTCAAATAAATGGTACTGATGTGATCTGATGCGGTGGCAAAGCGAAGCTCATCATTGCCACTCATGGGTTGGCAAATATGTATGTAGGTATAATAGGAAGTGTGCATACACACATACACATTGCACACCATCTGCAAAAGTGATACAACTCAAAACAACACGTTCGTCCGAAAATGTGGAAAACTATTTCATAGCACATGCTAATCATACTTTATTTTTGTTTTTTTTTTTTTTCAACAAACTATAACACAAATTTTATCCAGCTTTTGCTTAAAGATAAATAAAAACTCTGCGTACATTTTTAGCACATAATGTCAAAAATGTCAAATTTAGAGTTGTGTGACTTTTGGAGATCGTGTGCGATATGTACTTATGTGAAAGATTATAGGTATGCAAAGTTGCATGCGTATGTACGTGAACAGTACGCTTTAATATGTATTTTGGTATTTACCCTGCAGTAAGATGACGAACTGATCGGGAAATACTCTAGCTGACTAACTGGTGTAACCGGACGTGAAGGCTGACTAGTTTATTAACTATTTTTAAACATACCGATGGTCCTCTGTAATAGTGAAACAACTCAAAAATCAAAAAAAAAAAATCAACTACTAAATAAGACGAATGGCAGGTTCCTCTGGTTGTAGGGGATTTCACAGAAGGAGGCGTTCCCACTCTCCATCCGTTTGCGGGCTTATGGCAAGGATGACATTGGGCCACTCCACCAGCTGCTTTTGATCCTGATTTCCAGGGTTGTTGCCACATTTCGCGAGAAGCCTGAGGCGGCTCTCCACTTCCGTTGCGCCTTCACGGCCGGACGAACATTTTTCCTAGCCCTGGAACAGCTGGGGGAACGATTTGATGCCGCAGCCCTTTGAGACTTCAAGACTCCTCGCTTGGCGTTAGGCTCATTCGCTACCGTGGCCGCAATGGGCTCATTAGTGCTGGGTGCCTTCATAGCCGCGCGTACTGTTAAACTACCATCCGGGGTTTTGACCACAGCCGCCTTGGACATGGAGGACCGACAAGCTATTTCTACTGGCAGTTCAGGCCTGCTCTGCTCCTCAGTATTCGGTACATTCGGTCCGCGAGGGATACGTTTGAGTAGTTGATAATAGCGGAGGGACTTTGAGGCTTTCCCGAAGAAGTTGGCCGTGAAGGCCCCCTTGGAACTGCAAATCAATCAGTCAATCAATCAACCCCTTAGAAAATAGTAGAAAAGGCTCCTTTATGCAAATCATCCAATGGGCACGATGGCGAATGACACCCTGGATTAGGGAGAGAGGATAGAATCGACACACTCTGGGATATCTTCATAGTGTTTTGCGGAAACAGAGACACCTCTTAAAGGAAGCGATAACTCGCACTAAGGTCTTTATGGGGGAGTGGCTAGACACATAGCATAATCTAAATATGTGCTGTGTTACGTTCCATCCACAGCCTGTTATTCACTCGACCCCAACGAACAATGTTACTCCTTTCAAAAATCGTCAAAATATTAATTAGATCTTGGGAAAAAAACCATATGACAGTCCTCCTAAGGAAAGCGATTCGTACGAAATGCCTGGTTCGTGACTCTGAATGATTCTTCAAAATGCCTACAGGGTGTCCACAATTCGAGACACTGAAGCTCGGATATTGAAGAAAAAGTGTGCCTATTCAAGTGAATGTGGGTATAGTTGAGTTTTAAACCAAACTTTCGAGCTGTTCGGTACTAGTAGCTTTCACTGTGTGGAATTTACGTAAATGCATACCAAGTATACGATATATTTACATACTGTATGTACATATGTATTCTACAAACATATATATTTCCAAACACATTCAGATGTAGCCATTTGAAGGGGCTCACTGCTTCGTCGTTACCACGTTCGTATGAGTAATCATACATACTAATTTCCACGTATGTGTGCATCTATTTGCTATGCTAGTTTCACAGCGTTTCTGTATTTTTCAGAAACACAAGAACGTATGTAAGCATGTTTGAATATAAATTTTCAGTCGAGAATTGCAATTTAATACCAGCTGTCAATAGAGAAAAGTGGCAATAATAATTGGGGGAGTAGCACTCTACATTCTGTCTGTCGTTGCAGCAATCAGTGCACTAAGCCTGCCAGTTATTGATCAGCCATACAATCAATCACTAAAAATGTCAATCTCTAGTTTAGTTCGTTAGTCAGCTGCACAAGTTTCGTTTTTCTGACGGTTCGTTGGTTGGCAACGGCCTTTTTGGGTTAATTCTGATAATTTGGTAATGATCTTTGGCAACAGCTGATTTATTGTATATACCTAGGCTTGTATGTACCGTCATCCTTTCGGAAGAACAGTCCTCCTTTGCCACGAAATGCCTTCCGTCGTCCCCAACAAGTAAAAAGTCCTCCACAGAAGCTGGATACTCCTTTTTTATTATTTACTGTTTAGAAATGAAGTTAGTAAATTACTTTCGAAAATAGAAAATATAAAAGAGAAATTTTAAACTGACAACCATTTCAACAAACTGGCACTACTATAGCTTAATCAATGGTTCGATTCTACTGAAAAGTGTTGGTTAACAAAAATTTCGAAATTTTCTTTAAATTCCCAAAATATTTCTACTTTCGATGAATTGGAAGAAAAGTTGCCTTATTTAAAGGATATTTAAGATAATCTAAACATATAAGTAAATTCTTTCAGTTTTTTCCAAGCGGTACAAACTTGAAGAAAAAAATATCTTACCTCTTTTGCATTCCATGCAGTAGTGTATTTGCCGAAAGTCCTTTTTCGAACATGTATGCAAAGTGTGGTGGGAAAATAAGTCGGTGCTCTACTAAATTAATAAGAAGCGAGTTAAAAATCTTTATATAAATACGCCACAAGAAAATTTTGCAAGCCCTTTTCTGAAGGCACCGTTCGCTTGATTTCAATTAAACATACACCGATTTAAAGGATATAACTTCCTCTAATCCAGAAATGTTAATCCCGATACATAGGGGGCGTGGCATCTGACATATAGACTAAAATGTGAAAACCACTATATCTCTAAAGCCAATTATGATGGGGAACTGAAACTTAGCACAAATGCACAGATTGTAAATACCTTACTTTCGGCGAAAAGTGGTAGATTTTGGAAAACGGGGCGTGGCACCTCCCATACAAACTGAAATTCTCCTATCGCTTTTCTCTGCAACCGCTTATGCTAACGTCCTGAATTTTGACACAGCAACATGTGTTATCATTACCGAACTTATAGCGAAAAGTGATGTGTACTCGGAATGGTGATCCTCGCATACAAAATTCAATTTCCATATCGCTTATATCTGGGAGCACCTATGAGAAGGTAATGGAATTTGATACACCTACATATATATATGTACATATAAAATGGCAAGAATAATTCAATTGGAACCATTTTCTACCAGATTTCGAAATCGCGTTGAATGATTGTTATTTTTTGTAATGATTTTTGAAAGGCTCAGTGTGTTTGTCTTCCGTTAGGTGTCGCAGGGATTGAGGGTAGAGATAGGCGTGGGACTTAATATTAAGTCCCGATCCAGCCCATCCCTAAATTAAATTTTTCACTTCCGAACCCGCTCATCCCGACGTTTTTTCATAAATGACCGCGGGCCCGGGGGCCCCGAGATCTATCTCTAAAAAATTTCGCATGTCTTTCAAATTAATTTTAAATAAAAAAAAATTTTATGAAAGATCTGGCTTTCACCGATTATTTTTTTTGTTGCGCTGTTCGTTATCGTCTCAATAAAACATAAAACGTGCATATTTCATAAAAATTTTTTAAAGAAGATTTTCCTTGTTGAGGTTGCGGTTTTATCGAGAGTATCTGGAAAGAATTTTGGTCCCATTCCGTCCGTAAAATTTTTCGCAGACCTTCCTGTTCCTGTGTTCTGTGGGTCCCGATATCCCGTGCCCATCTCTATTTGAGAGATATCCATAAAATTTATGGTCAGGTTTGCTTCATCTTTAGAACCCGTATAAAACCGCCGTTAGAGAAGAATTATTATATTTTATTTACACCTGCGACGTACTTAATCTCCATTGATTACGATGAAAAGAAAGAGGAGTTTATGCACATATTGGCAATTTAATTTTAACCTTTCAAGGAGCTCCTCGGATCAGTATAATTGAGGTTCCTCTTTTGGCATAATTTCGAAAGTTACCAAGAAATTTGGTTTTAAGTTTTCCTATAAATTCGCTATAAATTTTGGTGGTAGATATTATATACATATCGTTGCTTTAATACAGAAAGGTCCTATCTCACATACATATGTATGTAGTCGCTGAAATGTAAAAAGCCGTTACTAATTGAAAATCGAAATTTCCCGTTTTCATTGATTGTGATGCACTTCATCGGATTATAAGTCCCCGCATCATTTTAAGCTCCAACTCATTTATGAAATAAATGTTGGAGATGACTCTTGATTTTTTTAAATGCAATCTAATTATATTAATTATCATGCAAAGCAAACAAATTAAACCTTATTCGCACCCAAAATGTCCTTGCTATATTTCCGACGTATAACTACTATTTTTTCTTATTACATTTCATTCTCCATTTCAGCGCCAAGGCTGCATACATGGCGAAGACCTGCCCTATATATTCGGTGCACCACTGGTTGGTGGCTTCAGCCATTTTACACGAAATTACACGAAAACCGAAATAAATCTCTCCGAAATTGTAATGCTATATTGGTCGAATTTCGTGCGAACTGGGTGAGTAAAAGAGCAATAAAATACATTCAATATATATACCTATGAACATACAAATCACAAAGGGCGCTTGGATGAGGATCAAACCAAATGAATTTTGCGCACATCGAAATTAGAAAATGTCAAAATCCATTTGTTGTTTTTCCTTTGAAACTCCGTCTTTGAGCACCACAAATAAAAAATAGATTTATTATTCCAAAATACTTGTTTTAAAATTTTGTTTGTCCTGTCCTAATTAAAAAAAAAATAATAATAATCATTCGAATTTTGTTCATAATCTTTCTCTTAGCAATCCAAACGAGCAAATGGAAGGCGATCATCCGAATAGTCGACAAGAGCGCAGTCGTTACAAGACAATCGAATGGACTGCATATGAGAGCGTGCATAAAAAATATTTGAATTTCGGTAAGTTTAGAGGCGAAGCCATTTTACTAACACACAGTCCAAATTTTCAATTTGGGTAATGGTTTTTGGTGCCAGTATGTTTCGTTTGAAATAAAGCACAAAGAATAAAGCAGAGATAAACAGCAAACCTTTTATCAGAAAAAAAATGAAAATTATATTTATAGGAATTTTTATATTCTGAATTGCCAGCGTAAATAAACTTCAGGCCTATTTGAAATAAAAGATCCTTAGAAGTCAAAATCCTTCACAAAAATAATAGAAAACTTATCAACTTATCAACCAACTATTGCAATCACGCAACAATGCCGAAAAAAAAATCCAAAAGTCTCGAAAACCCCCAGAAAAATTTCGAAAATGCTGAAATATTCCGAAAGTCTTCGAAAAATAGGCCATGGAAAAACACAAGCCAAAATCGCAAAAAAATATTTTTAAGACTTTCGAAAATGTCCCGAAGAAGTCAGGAAGTGTTCGAAGATCCTCGAAACCTAACGAAATTCAGAAAAGTACAGAAACATCTCGAAAAAATTACGATAGCTCCAAAAACTTTCGAAAGATCCAAAATATAAAACAAAAGGATTCGCAAAAGTTTCAAAAAAAAAATTATGCACGCAAAAAGTCTACAAAAAGTTTCAACGAATTCTGAAGGAAGCCGAATAATTTTCAAGGAACCCAAAAAGTCTTGAAATGTCAAGAAAATCAAAATCCCTTATAAGAAAAAAGTGCTGTAGAAAAGTGCGGAAATATTAGTAAATATTCCAAAAATATATATCGAACGAATATTCGAAAACACTGAAACAATAAGAAAGGTTCAAAAATTATCCAACTATCCTGAAAAATAAATAAAATAAAAAAAAACTTACTCAAAAGTTCTTAACAAAAAAACACACAAACACAAAGGTTTCGAAAGAATCCAGAAAAATGTTCCAATAAATCTCAAAATACCTGGAAAAATAAAACAAGTAAGGTCTTGTTAGCTCCCGAAGAAATTTGGAAATGTAAAAAAATATAAAAAAAATGAAAACAGTGTAAAATGCGGAAAAATAAGGTACGAAATAATCCCGAAATGTCGGGAGAAAATCCGGCAAAAGTTTTGAAGGTTCAAAAATCTCTCGAAAGATTCCAAAAAAATTCAACAGAAAGGAATTGTCTATAAGAGTCCCAAAAAATAATAAATAAAAAAAAAATCAGCTAGAAAAGTCCCAAAAAATTTAAGAAGTATTTATCCCTAAAAAATATTTAAAAGTGCAGAAAGGTATTGACCAAATTCGCTGCGAATACAAAAAAAAAATCCCAAAGTTCCAAAAAATCCCGAAAAACCGAAAAAACGACCGAAAACTTCCCAAGAAAATAAAAATCGGAAAATCCTTAAAAATTTTGACAAAATACCAATGAGCCAAAAAAATACTCGAAAGGTCCCGAACAGTAAAACAGAAAAAAAGTCCCGAATAGTTACGGACAAATCCTGTTAAATTCCGAAGATATAAAAACCTTGCGTAGAAATGGAAAAATATAACAGTAAAAGATCCGGAAAAGTTGGCAAAATAATAAAACCTCCAAAAAATAAAACACGACTAAGGTAGTAGAAGTCCCGAAAAAATTTTTCGAATATACACTAAAAAGCCTTCGGAAATTTTGTGATACCTCGAAGAAACGTTTAAAATTAAAAGAGCAAGGACATATCATACCATCCTAAAAAATGTCGCTAGTTACAGATTAAAAATATAGATAGCTATATTTGTGAAGTGCTTAGCATTCTTGTGCGGACATATAAATATTTTGACAAAAATCCCAATATAAATAAAACATATGTATCTACATATACATATGTATATATATTAAGGACCATCACTAGAAAAAAATATTAATTTCCTCTATATCTACTAAATACATACCTTTGATATATTTGAAAATAAAAAAATTTATTCAAGATTATTCATTGTTTTTAGTTTTATCCACGGCTCCATCAGCAATCACTTTGTAAATAGTTTACAAACCCACGCTTCTTTTCGTTTCAGATACAAAACCAAAGCTTAAAAATCACTATCGCGCCCATCGCTTATCCTTCTGGTTGAATCTCATTCCCGATCTGCATAAGCCAGGCGGTGATAACGTGCCTGCCACACATCATCAACTACTCGACGATTCAGATGATGAAGTGGACAATAATATTGCAAGCGACGCAACCATAAAACCACTTAACCCACCCTATTCACCGCATGCCGGCACTGCTGCACTTGGCAACTTCACGCTTTTCACCAATCAAGTATTCTCGCTGCTCAATCTCTCATCGCCCTCATCGGCACGCAACGCTTCCCGTTATGGTGGCAAAATATATGCAGGCGATGAGGCTGGCGAAGCCCATGCGGCGGGCAGTGGAGCGCCACCCGATGCACAAGACGGCTTTGCGGCCTACTCAACAGCCTTGAGCGTGACAATAGCCATCGGTTGTTCACTGCTAATACTCAACGTGCTCATATTTGCAGGTGTTTACTATCAACGCGACAAGACACGCCTTAGTGAACCGCGCGCACAAACAAAACTGAAGCGGCAGGAAAACGGACAAATGCCAAATAATATCTGCGGGGATCTAGAAACGCTTACGATACACACAAAGAGTGATCCGGCAACAATACTCTCACATCATCATGCGCTGCAACATCAGCACCAATTGCCGCCACCCGAATTTGCGGACATACCACATCGTGCGCCGCCACCACCGAAGCATTTGAAGTCGCTGCAGGATGCGGCTGGTGGCATGAATGCGGGTGGCGCACTCAATTCGACGGGCAGCGGCATGGGTGGTGGTGGAATTATTGCTGCTAGTATGAGTGGCAGCAATGGGGCGGGTGGTGGAAGTGGCGGCGGTGGTGGTGGTGGTGGTGGTCTTGGTGGTGGTGGAGGGCCAGGTGGTAGTGGGAGCAGCGGCAGTGGCGGTGGCGCTGGCAATATGATTGGTCTCATGCCACCGCCACATGCACTTCAAGTAATGGGCAATCAGTGTGGTACACTAACGAAGAAGAGTTGTATGAAACAAACGCAGCAGCAACAACAACAACAAATGATTGTTACGCATCAGCAACATTTGCAGAATCATCATAATCAGAGTATGACGACGGCGTTGATGGGTGGAGGAGGTGGTGGTGGCGGTGGCGGTGGCAACAGCGGCCCACCACCACCTTCAGTATCAAGCGCTCAGGCGCATCCACATGCACATGCGCAGCAGCAACAGCAACAGCACCATCAGCAACAGCACCATCAGCAGCAGCAACACCAACAACAACAGCAAGCACAACTACAACAAACCCAACAACATCCGCTAATGGATGAATTGCGAGTGTGACATTAATTGACGGTGCGTTTCAAATGTGATCTCTAGCGGTGATTAAATGAATGTGAATGTGATTGTGATTGTAATGACGATAGCGGTGGTGATGATGATAATGGTGGTGATGATTACGATGATGACAATGTGAATTGAAGTGGAAATGGAATACTCACAAATGATACATGCTCATCAGATAAGTGATTGTAATACCGTGGTGCGTGTTTGTGTGTTGCTGTATGCACCATTGTATGTGTGTGTGTGTGTGTGTGTGTGTATGTTTGTGTACTTACGTTTGTTTATTGCATGAATGTGCTTAATTGAATGCGAACACAATAGTTTCCATTGTTTCTAACCATCTACGCAGCGGCCTTGGGTATTTCATGGACGTCACGTATACACCATGGAGTACACAAAGCCATGTGTAGGCTAGTGTACTTGTATGTATGCATGTGTGTATATACTAAGTACCAAATGTAGTATTGTACGGAATGCTTTCATTTGTTAAATGTGACTAGGCCGGTGTGTTTTTGTAGCAAAGCACAGCGAGATTACATTAAGTAGACGCATTATTGTTAATTACTTAGGTACTTAAGTGGAGTAAGTAGTTACTAAATTTTCAAAAACAAAAGAAAAAAATAACTATTTAAAAGAAGTATATTACCACTTTTTTATAGGAAAAAGGCATAGCAACAACTAGATATTATAAAAAAAAAACTTAATTCTAACTATAACGTTGAAAAAAATAACAATTCAAGAGCAATTATTTGTAATACAAAAAAAAAAATGTTTCAGAGACTATTTGTACGATATGGTGACTTGAATTAGCTGAAGGTTTTTATATAAAACACTACCATCTAGGCTTTGTAAAATACTATTAAAAAATATAAATTTTCTTAAAATATAGAGTTCTGAACTAAATAAGCAAGCAGAAACTTAAGGATGGAAGAAATGAATAGTTTTTAGAAAAATAGTTCGAAACCGAAGCCCTTTTCATAAACAGGATGATACCTTTGTATTGAATGACTTCAAATTAGGGCTGCAGCTATCTGTGTATAAGGACATCCGGGTATCTGTAATATACGTTATATTTTGATATCCGCATACCCGGTTAATATTCGGATAATTTTCGGACATTCGGTTAACGTTCGTTAATTTCGCGATCAAGTTAATATCTGTTAATTTCTTTATTCGTAATTCTGGATATTAACTGGAATTTTTAATCAGATGTTCGAATAACCGGATTTTTGGATCATTCAAAGCGCGTATAGAACCACCAGCATGCTTCAAACTGATTTTGAAATAAAACTATAAATTTTTTTATACAAGTTCTAAAGTGGGGCGTTCTTCCACTCAGGTGCCGATATGTAACTGGTTTCTTCAATAAACCTGCTCAACAAAAATTGACTTTTAATTTGGCACGTTTTGCTATGGTTTGACTATCTAAGTTGAAAAAAGGTCTACAAAATACTGGGCACCCGCGTTTTTTAAGGCAACTTTTTTTCATGAATAGTACTGAGACTAAATATAGACCATGTGTTAAAATTATAAATGCATCAAATATTGACATTTAGCAATTAATTTTTTGTTATTTAATTTCACTTATTTTTTCATACAAATATAGTTTTTTTTTAATCTTATAAATCCAAAACTGAAACTTTTTGCAATATTAAAAAGAAAACTAAACAAAGATTTGTAAAAACTGCAAGTTTTTAGTTCGATTTCTTAAAAAAAAAATGTTGAGTAGCCAATACAATTTTATTATAACGAAACTGCAAGTTTGAGGCAGCTGGAACATTGTTAATAATTGGCCTCAAGAACCCTCAAAAACTAGTACTAGTACATGCCAGTTCTCATTTCCAACCACACTAACGTATCACCCTAATATTAGTAGAATAAAGCTTGCCAAAATTTAATAAGCTTTTGCAAAGGAAATACTTCGAATCGAAGTCAACTTCGATTTTTATTTGCCGAACGTAGGGTGGTCTTTTGTAATTTTTCGTTATATCTTCGGCATTTGCAGTAGCATCTCAAAGTATGATACATCGTTGATTTTTCCTCGAGGAGAAAACTTTTTCTGTTCCAAAGTTAATTCACCTCAAGTACTCCCTTTCTAGTACTTACTCATTAGAATTCAGTTATCAGCACGTTAATGTACCACCCTAATTTCAGCAAATTAAAGCTCCCAAAAATCACTAAGCTTTCGCTAAGTTGTCTAATGTGCCAGTAGAAAAAGAAATTTTATTATCAAATGTTTATCTTTAAACATAAATTAAATATTGGTTTTTTAAAACTAACTTGGTCCCAGCATGTTCAAGGAAGTTCCACAAGCCTTGTCTATAAACCCGTTAGAGAAATCAACAAGCATCTCAAACAATTTTCTAAGTACTTTCCTTCGGGTTTTTGGGTGTGGCTTAGTGTTGTTGCAATTTCATCTTGGAAGATTTTTCATGGCAAAAAAAGCTTTCAATAACAATGTCATTGCTATCATTGAGCGCCGAATTAGGACAAAACTGCGTTTGGATATTACCAAGAAACAAATTGGAACCTAATTTTGCCATGTTATTACCAATAATTTTTGGAGATTTAGTCACTTTTTTTAAATAAAATTTAACTGTTAATAGATAATAGTACAACTTAAGTTAGTTACAATAATATTTTATACTTTCAAAAATTCCTATGTGTATGCATTCCTTTTTCGCACACTTAATTTTTTAACTTAAAACAAATTTTCAAAATAGCATTTTTTGGTTTATTTTTTCCAATGAAAATATGAATAGACAGTTTTCTTTAATTTGAAAATTTTTACTTCCAAAGACTGAACTAAGTATATAAATACTGAGGTTTGTATATATAAGTAGATATGTGCAGTCGGTATTGTATGTAGATTTGTATAAAGATATGGTTGAAATTTTATTGTACGTATTTAGAAGTTAGTAGAATTTAAACTAATACATAAATTATTTGTTAGCAGTTTGTATGGAGATTGTAGTAATGGGTTTTCGTAACATTTAATTCCAAGTCTTATCAATTTAGTATAATTTTTAAAGAGTCTTAATGCAATTACAACTTTACTTTTGGATTTGATGCATATCATCAAAACGTGAGAGATTAGGCGACGCCGAAATGCATCTTATCTTTTTCAAATTTTAGATTTTTCGAAACATTTCCTTTAACACTTGTGACTTTATCGCACAAGCTAATTTTACCATTATCGTAATAGTTCCTAATTCAGTATCATAAAACAAGCTGCATACACTGCCGACAAAAAGTATTGGCACAGCGAATTTTGCACAATACATGCACAAATTTCTATACTAATATTCTTCCGCTAATTTTTTTATAAAAATATGGTTCATTCTACAACAAAAAACATAAAAATATATTTCTAAACATTGTGAAAAACTCGCGAAAATTCAATAAATTTTCATGCAAATTTTAAGCTTTTTCGTCAGATTTTTTAAAATTTTTTTAAGTACGCAGTTTTGTAGCCTATGAAATTCTAGTATAAAAAATGCTAGTTCGGAACTGTTCAAAAATCGTATTTTTTTTTTGAAGGTGTTTTGAATTTTTTCAATAGAAAATATTTTCGAAATTTTTTTTTTTATGAAAGAGACTGCGTTCCCAAAACTCAACGGTAACTCGTAGCTACTCAGAACTTTTACTTTGTTACAATAAAATGGATTGGACTGCAAATCTGCATACTCAAAAAAATTCAAAAAAATCTGAATAAAAATGGAAAATTTGCATGAAAATTTGCTGAATTTTCGCGAGCTTTGCACAATGTTTAGAAATTATAATTTTAAGGTTTTTTTCTGGAGAATGAGCCATATTTTTATAAAAAATTGGGGGAAAAATATTACAACGAAAATTGTTGCATATATTGTAAAAAGGCAGCTGTGTCAATACTTTTTGCCGGCAGTATATGTACTTAGCGATGATGTTTACAGTACCGAATTAGTGGCTACCGCGATAAAAAAATGCTGGCAAGGCTCATAGAAAACAGTGGAATACTAAGTACTACTACTACTACTACTACAATTAGGTTCTGCTAATTTCACGTGTAGACTCGAAAAATTTTTGTGAGTGGAAAACTTAACTTTCTTTTAGTTTTCGTATTAAAAACATCCAAGAACTTCAGTTTGTTAACTTTTTTTGTATGTAGATATTTATTATTTTTTATTTAAAACTAAAAATTTCACAGAACTTATTGTACATAATTATAGATATTAACTAAATTAAAAAGAAAAACTAAAAAAATTGCTTCATATTTTATTTAATAATAAAGTAGTTAATAGTTACATATGTGTTAGAAATGTGTGAAATGTATGTGTGAACGGAATGAAAACTATAAACTGTAGACGGTAAGCTTAAGCTTTAAGTTCGTACATATGTATGTATGTATGTTATGTAGTGTCACGAAACTTTGTAAACTGCTAAAAACTCGAATTACACTTCACATAAATATTTACTATTAAGAATAGCGAAAATAAATAACTGATAATAATGAAAAAATAAATAAGAACTAGCTAATTTATAGTATATAACTGTATAAGCTAAATATATAAGAACACACAAGAAAATGTTTTGTGTATAAGCTATGAAGTAAATTTAATTATATATGCAGAGGTAAATGCGTTAAAATAACTTAATCCAATAAGGGAAATAGGTTACGCAAAAAATGTAGAAAACTTTAAATATTTAAATTAGTATAAATAAATAAAAAAAACACACATTTATAAAACAAAGTTACTGGATAAGTACTTTGCCTATAACAGATATGTGAAATTATTACTACATACATATGTTAGTGCTACAGTCGAAGTAAAAAGTACTTGCAACTTATGCATTTGTAAGTAATCAAAAGCAACATAACTAGGAAAAGTTAAAAATGGATATAAAATAATTAACTGTGTAAAGAACATCTAAGTAGTTACATTTAAAAATTGTGGCAATATAAAAATGTTGAAAAATGTGAAATTATAGGAGTACTAAATTTAAATGCATACAACTATAAGCAACTAATATTGAGTAATAAAAGAAGTGAAAATTTAGGCATGCCTTGTTTTTTAAAAAGTTAAAGCTTCACGTGTAAATGGTAAGTATGACATAATAAAGCTGCGAGTAATCCCCATTTTTCGCTAGATTGCCAACTGTATCTTTAACCCTTTCGCTACTGTTAAGGACAGTGGTGTACCACAGCATGTGCATTTGACCCTGAAATTCGCAGTTTCATACAAAATGTCCCAATCGCGTAAAACTTTGATGGTCTTTTTTTTATAAGTTTGTTTATGAGCTATTACGGATATTGTTTCAAATTTGCGCGCCATTTATAAAGAAGAAAATATATATCTCAAAGAGTTGGTACTCATTTGAAAGTAACTAAAATACTCCACTTAAAGTGGCAAGGAAATACATAAATATTTGTATTTCTGGAAGAGCGGAGTGGGCATCAGCAGCAAGAGAGTTACCCATACTCACGGAACATCTGTCCCAATAGGCTTCAAATTGGGATGGGACGCCCATCGACCAGTTGCAAAACCGTCTAAATAATCGTTGTGGCAAAAATGAGTAACTCTGAACTCCAGGCATCGAGATTTATGCATAAAAAAACATTAAATAGCTAGAGAATATACCGCATATCAAGGCAATGACTTCAAAGAAGTAAAAAAAAATT